AAGGAGAAAACTGTACTTTCACGAACTCTTTGAATTAGCTGATTTTCTATCCATCGAGACATTTCATCGATCCTATGCGTGACCGAGTTATTAGAAATAGGAATTGTTTCAATTTCTTGTTTACTCTTATCACCAAAGAAAACTTTAACTGTATCTTTTATAGCTGGAAGAACTAAAGTCTCTCCAATTGTATGTGGCTTACCAGCTTTCGCGATTCTCAAACTGATCAGGTAGGACACGTACAAAGATTTTTCATTAACTTTGGTGTAACGTTGCATAACACTCTGTCCTGTCTTCAACTTGCTTAGCATCCTTTCAAAAAATTCGAGAGGTTTGTCTTTCAACTCGGGATGCTTCGTCTCAATATGGCGACGCAATTTGTTTGGGCGCATGCTCTCGTTTGCAAGTTGATCACAACAAATAATACATCGTGGTCGTGGATCTTCTTCATCTCCATTCCATGTAAATCTCATTTCTAAGTACTTGGAATCATACTTTCTCACCACTTTTCTTCGTTTTGATTCACTGAAGACTCATTGTCATCAACTTCAACTGACTTCTTTAACCATTTATCCATTACACGAAGGGCTGAGTAAATTCGAAAAAAAAAATCGGGTTCAAAATCTGAAGTAAAACAGACAATTTCGACTTGCCACTCGATTTGACAAAATTAAAACACTAGTTAGCGTAGGATCACGCGCATGCCAAAACGCTTCACACCGTCTATTCCAGTCATTTCATTGGCTGACACGACGCACGCGCGACTGCCTCGTAAAACCTCGAAGTAGTTATCGTCTCGTTCAGCATTGTACCGGTTTTATCAGTTGATTGCAGAATCTGAACAATGGATTGTAGATTTCTATCATTTGAATGCAGATATCTAGCTTTTGATTGCAGAATTTTAACTTTTGATTATCGATATCTATAGTTTTTTTTTTATTTCTAGAATTTTAACTTTTGATTGAAATAGCATAGGCGTAGGAGCCGGGGGCGCATTATATCTACATATAATCAAAGGATACCTAGAAATATAAAATAACTATAGATATCTATAATCAAAAGTTAAAATTCTGCAATCAACTGCTAAAACCAGTACTATAGCTAAAGTACTGTATGAATAGGTGAAAATTGATTTCCTTTTTACGATGACGAATGATTAAATTGAGAGCTTGATCAACCCTGATTCGTTAAAGCTCGTCAAAAACAACATACTGCTTTATACAACAACAGCCTGGCAATGAAAAGCCCGAGTCTTGAACTATCTCGACAGACAG